CAGACTGTAGAGACAATCAGCACAGCAGTTGGTAAGTAATATTTAGACTGTAGAGACAAGCACAGCAGTGGGTAAGTAATCTTTAGATTGTAGAGACGAGCACAACAGTGGGTAAGTAATATTTGGACTGTAAAGACGAGCATAGCAGTGGGTAAGTAATCTTTGGACTGTAGAGACAAGCACAGCAGTGGGTAAGTAATCTTCAGACTGTAGAGACAATCAGTACAGCAGTGGATAAGTAATCTTTAGACTGTAGAGACAAGCACAGCAGTGGGTAAGTAATCTTTAGATTGTAGAGACGAGCACAGCAGTGGGGAAGTAATCTTAAGACTGTAGAGACAAATTAAGCATAGCAGTGGGTAAGTAATCTTTAGACTGTAGAGACGAGCATAGCAGTGGGTAAGTAATCTTTAGATTGTAGAGACGAGCACAGCAGTGGGTAAGTAATCTTAAGACTGTAGAGACAAATTAAGCACAGCAGTGGGTTAGTAATCTTAAGACTGTAGAGACAAATTAAGCATAGCAGTGGGTAAGTAATCTTTAGATTGTAGAGACAATCAGCACAGCAGTGGATAAGTAATCTTTAGACTGTAGAGACGAGCATAGCAGTGGGTAAGTAAGCATTAGATTGTAGAGACGAGCACAGCAGTGGGTAAGTAATCTTTAGACAGAAGAGACAAGCACAGCAGTGTGTAAGTAATCTTTAGATTGTAGAGACGAGCACAGATGTGGGTAAGTAAACTTTAGACAGTAGAGACGAGCACAGCAGTGGGTAAGTAATCTTTAGACAGTAGAGACAAGCACAGCAGTGTGTAAGTAATCTTTAGATTGTAGAGACAAGCAAAGCAGTGTGTAAGTAATCTTTAGATTGTAGAGACAATCAGCACAGCAGTGGATAAGTAATCTTTAGACTGTGGAGACAAGCACAGCAGTGGGTAAGTAATCTTTAGATTGTAGAGACGAGCATAGCAGCACAGCAGTGGGTAAGTAATCCTAAGACTGTAGAGACAAGCACAGCAGTGGGTAAGTAATCTTTAGACTGTAGAGACGAGCACAGCAGTGGGTAAGTAATCTTTAGATTGTTGAGACAAGCACAGCAGTGGGTAAGTAATCTTTGGACTGTAGAGACAAGCACAGCAGTGGCTAAGTAATCTTTGGACTGTAGAGACGAGCATAGCAGTGGGTAAGTAATCTTTGGACTGTAGAGACAAGCACAGCAGCACAGCAGTGGGTTAGTAATCTTTGGACTGTAGAGACAAGCACAGCAGTGGGTAAGTAATCTTTGGACTGTAGAGACAAGCACAGCAGTGGTTAAGTAATCTTCCTTTTTACAACAAAATACACAATAGACTACGATATACAGCACCATGGTGGGAGTAGTTGGCAGTCAGGGGTTCACTTGACGGAAAAGATTTATTGACAGTGAGAGAGGAGATTTACAACACACAGTGTACCTGGGTAGGGATCAAGATCAGGACAAAACTCACCTGAGCAGGGAAGAACCAGAAGAATGTGTTACTCTTTGTTGTCTTATTCACAGTGATGAACCCGGAGTGGCTCTTGAGAGTGGTGCCCTCTAGGGGTCCGACAAGGCTCAACTTCTGGGCTGGAACAGGAGAAGACAATCAAAATATACATTTTGTATGTATATCAGTAGATCACATTCGACATAGAAATTAGCCTTAAACAACAGGGAGCATTATATATGGGGGTGTTTTGCTGCAATTTCAATATTAAACAAAATATGCGAGATATTTTGACAGCAAAATATTTTTTATGAATTAATATTTAACTATTGGTTGGAATTATTGCTTATTAATGTAACATATTCAAGTCTGTATTTAATAGAAAAGTAAATACTGGATACCATATCAGAACAATGTCCTTAAATTTTGAGTTAATACCTTTTTCTTATTGTCAAATGGTGCAAAGAAGTACAGCAGATCATACAAGTGTAACAGCTAGAGGTATATATACAACTATATTTTGAATGCCTTTGTCAGGAATCAAAACTGGGACCTCAGTATAAACTAAAATTGGATGCTTTACCAAATGATTCAAAGAGAAATTCTATCTAGCCACATTGGTAGGAAGTGGCTATGATTTTACCAGAGTAACAAAAGTATATACCAGTAATCAGTAAACATTGGTGTAATATACCAGTAATCAGTAATCATCGGTGTATACCAGTAATCCGTAAACATCGGTGTATACCAGTAATCAGTAAATATCGGCGTATAACAGTAATCAGTAATCATCGGTGTATACCAGTAATCAGTAAACATCGGCATATAACAGTAATCAGTAATCATCGGTGTATACCAGTAATCCGTAAACATCGGTGTATACCAGTAATCAGTAATCATCGGTGTATACCAGCAATCCGTAAACATCGGTGTATACCAGTAATCAGTAAACATCGGCATATAACAGTAATCAGGAAACATCGGTGTATAACAGTTATCAGTAAACATCAGTGTATATCAGTAAACATCGGTGTATACCAGTAATCAGTAAACATCGTCATATAACAGTAATCAGGAAACATCGGTGTATACCAGTAATCAGTAAACATCAGTGTATAACAGTAATCAGTAATCATCAGTGTATAACAGTAATCAGTAAACATCGGTGTATAACAGTTATCAGTAAACATCAGTGTATAACAGTAATCAGTAAAAATTGATGTATTTATAACAGTAATCAGTAAACATCGGTGTATAACAGTAATCAGTAAACATTGGTGTATACCAGTAATCAGTAAACATCAGTGTATAACAGTTATCAGTAAACATCGGTGTATAACAGTAATCAGTAAACATCGGTGTATAACAGTAATCAGTAAACATTGGTGTATAACAGTAATCAGTAAACATCAGTGTATACCAGTTATCAGTAAATATTGGTGTATACCAGTAATCAGTAAATATTGGTGTATTTAAAACAGTAATCAGTAAACATAGGTGTATACCAGTAATAAGTAAATATCGGCATATAACAGCAATCAGTAAACATCGGTGTATAACAGTAATCAGTAGACATCAGTGTATAACAGTAATCAGTAAACATCGGTGTATACCAGTAATCAGTAAACATCGGTGTATACCAGTTATCAGTAAACATCGGTGTATAACAGTAATCAGTAATCATCGGTGTATAACAGTAATCAGTAAACATCAGTGTATATCAGTAAACATTGGTGTATACCAGTAATCAGTAAACATCGGTGTATACCAGTAATCAGTAAACATCGGTGTATACCAGTAACCAGTAAACATTGGTGTATAACAGTAATCAGTAGACATCGGTGTATAACAGTAATCAGTAAACATCGGTGTATACCAGTAATCAGTAAATATTGGTGTATTTAAAACAGTAATCAGTTAACATCGGTGTATACCAGTAATCAGTAAATATTGGTGTATTTGAAACAGTAATCAGTAAACATCGGTGTATACCAGTAATCAGTAATCATGGGTGTATACCAGTAATCAGTAAATATTGGTGTATTTAAAATAGTAATCAGTAAACATCGGTGTAGATCAGCAATCAGTAATCATCAGTGTATACCAGTAATAAGTAAACATCGGTGTATATCAGTAAACATCGGTGTATAACAGTAATCAATAATCATCGGTGTATACCAGTAATAAGTAAACATCGGTGTATATCAGTAATCAGTAATCATCGGTGTATACCAGTAATCAGTAATCATGGGTGTATACCAGTAATCAGTAATCATAGGTGTATAACAGATATTCACTCATCAATACCATGATATAGAGAAATCTACGGAATCCTCACCTGTGTTTGGGCTTTCGAGATAGGGAGTTAGAAATAGGGGTTCCCCAGGATCAACACCATTTCTTTTCATTGGTGGATATTTTTTGGGAAACATTCCTCGCAATGCTGACTGGTGTGATTGACTGACCACACTGACCAATAAAATGACCAGGGTGGACTTCAACAATATAGCCATAGTTAATGATGAAGACTTTCTGAAAAGAGAATTACATGGTCAATAAAATCACATTTAGAGTTACTGTGCATGTATTGGATAAACATTGAAAATCCTCTGCTCATTTTATATTTATGTATCGAATAATAAGGTGGAAACCTTCAGGTAAATTCTGGTCCATTCAAATCATGTCTTTAGCAAGGCCCTTTAGGACACTAGTGGGAATCAAAATTCTACCAATATAGTTACTGTTGGAGTACAATATAGTTCTACCGGGCAGCTGACAGGTGCTGGGCCCACTGATATGATGTGCAAGCGTGATATATACTATATACTGTTATATATACTATGGGTCAAAGAAGTAATATAGACGGTAAAATCCCATATAACACTGGATTATAATGGAGTGTTAGGATACGAATTACTTTAAATAGTATATGGGGCAAAGAAGTAATTTCAACAGTGTGAACAAGTTTAGGTTGTCAAATTTTCGGAGGGATCCGCTCCTTGTTATATATATACTATATACACGTACATCATATCATGTGCCCAGTACCTGTGCACCAATCCGACCATGTGATACTTGTGTTACTTTTAAATGGGTTTGTCTTTATTTGTCTATGGTACCAGATGTAAGAGAATCGATCCGTCAGAATTATCTGTGGACGAGCGGACTGGTGTCAAGTGTTCAAATCGTCAAACTGTCCGTATATTATACACAAGAGTTATAATTATTTAACTGAAGACAGTACATCAGACATTCAGCACGACACAGTACATACCATCCAGTACACAGCAGCAACAGCGACAGGGGCGAACAAAAATATCACATGACTTACATGTGACTAGTGGTGATACCAATTACAGTCCGGGAGGACCCGATGTATCTCGACAGAGGCCGATACAGGCTACAACCACCCGGCGCGATACAACTACAACCGACAACAACCGTCTGCAAGTGACAACAACCGACGCCAGCTACACAAAAATGGCCCCTCATTTGCTGTCAACTTTCTTTAGGAGAGGTGAAGACCTAAACCTTATCACAACAAAAACACCCATTACAGTAAAAATGAGCACTTTAATTTTTTCCCCAAAGGATAAATGTTGTCAAACTAACAATGCACTGAAGGATCTTTTATGACGCGACCAAAACTAGGGATCATTCCTTGCTGTGGTGAATTATCATAAATTAGCAGACACATAAACAGTCAGAAGCCATCTCAAGCAATGAGATTATGACTGAAAACTGCCATATTTAGTCAACAGAGAAGATTCAGCGATGTAATATATTATATACGTCTCTGGTTACGTTTATTCCTTTTCAAGATGACCTCCAAAACGTTCATTCTGCTGCCTAATCAGTCGTCAGATTCCCAAAAACATTCTTGCAATGTCAATGGAATTCAGATATGGTGTGTAGATTTTCGAACTAAAACTAACATCTTAATTTGAACAATCTAACGCACTACATATATATACATATATATAAGCCAAAAGCCATTTATAATTTGGATTTTCTTTTTACATTTCTTGCACCTTTACATTGACGAGATTTCTAGATCCTGATGAATTGAATGTTTACGATTGTCGTCGCGGCACATGTGTGTATCTATTGTGTACAGTTAACAAAGCGCCGTCAGACCAAATTGCTACGAGATACATTATTCATATACTGTAGTGAATTTTGGGAGAGTTAGCTCCCTTAGACTGCTGACCGCACGGACAAAGCTAAACATTGACGTTACGTCTCGCTGCAGATAACACGTGAATGATTTTCCTCAAGCTTCTAACCAAGGACTTAGATAATCTAATTCCATGCTTCTAACCGATACTCTGTGAGGAGAGGGTGTAGTACATCGTGCACCACATAATTATATCTACATATGGTGCCAGCGTGCGGCTAACTGACGCTTTTATCGATATTTTTCGACATTATTTCTCTTTGAAAAACAATATTCCCCCCTTGCTATTCCCTTCTTGCCCACCCACAAAAAATGTATTACAGGTGAGCTTTCGATAGGTTATAGTTTTTAGCTTTATATTTTAGAACAAAATTATTATTTGTATTTTCAAGTTTATATAGTTATGTTTATATATATTTTTTGTGTAAACTGTCAATTAATTAGTTTTTATAAACCTTTAGAATTTTGTACTGTGTAGACGTTGCTTATTTACATATTTTTGGCATTGTTTATTCATATGTATTGAGTTATTTCTTTATTAGAACAAAGAAACGCATCCTTATTGTGGGCACCGTCATAGTAATCAAATCACAGGGTGGGCACCGTCATAATAATCAAATCACAGGGTGAGCACCGTCAAAGTAATCCAGTTACAGGGTGAGCACCATCATCATAATCAAGTTACAGGGTGAGCACCGTCATAGTAATCAAATAACAGGGTGAGCACCATCATCATAATCAAGTGACAGGGTGAGCACCGTCATAGTAATCCAGTTACAGGGTGAGCACCGTCATAGTAATCCAGTTACAGGGTGAGCACCATCATAGTAATCGAGTTACAGGGTGATTACCATCATAGTAATCCAGTTACAGGGTGAGCACCGTCATAGTAATCCAGTTACAGGGTGAGCACCATCATAGTAATCAAGTTACAGGGTGAGCACCATCATAATAATCAAGTAACAGGGTGAGCACCATCATAGTAATCAAGTTACAGGGTGAGCACCGTCATAGTAATCCAGTTACAGGGTGAGCACTATCATCATAATCAAGTGACAGGGTGAGCACCATCATCATAATCAAGTTACAGGGTGAGCACCATCATAATAATCCAGTTACAGGGTGAAGCACCATCATCATAATCAAGTGACAGAGTTTGCTGCATCATAGTAAAGAAATCACAGGGTGAGCACCATCATAGTAATCGAGTTACAGGGTGATCACCGTCATAGTAATCCAGTTACAGGGTGACCACCATCAGAGTAATCAAGTTACAGGGTGATCACCGTCATAGTAATCAAGTTACAGGGTGATCACCGTCATAGTAATCCAGTTACAGGGTGAGCACCATCATATTAATCAAGTTACAGAGTGATCACCGTCATAGTAATCGAGTTACAGAGTGAGCACCATCATAGTAATCGAGTTACAGGGTGATCACCATCATAGTAATCGAGTTACAGGGTGATCACCGTCATAGTAATCCAGTTACAGGGTGACCACCATCATAGTAATCAAGTTACAGGGTGATCACCGTCATAGTAATCAAGTTACAGGGTGATCACCGTCATAGTAATCCAGTTACAGGGTGAGCACCATCATATTAATCAAGTTACAGAGTGATCACCGTCATAGTAATCGAGTTACAGAGTGAGCACCATCATAGTAATCGAGTTACAGGGTGATCACCATCATAGTAATCGAGTTACAGGGTGATCACCGTCATAGTAATCCAGTTACAGGGTGATCACCATCATAGTAATCAAGTTACAGGGTGATCACCGTCATAGTAATCAAGTTACAGGGTGATCACCGTCATAGTAATCCAGTTACAGGGTGAGCACCATCATATTAATCAAGTTACAGAGTGATCACCGTCATAGTAATCGAGTTACAGAGTGAGCACCATCATAGTAATCGAGTTACAGGGTGATCACCATCATAGTAATCAAGTTACAGGGTGATCACCGTCATAGTAATCAAGTTACAGGGTGATCACCGTCATAGTAATCCAGTTACAGGGTGAGCACCATCATAGTAATCAAGTTACAGGGTGATCACCGTCATAGTTATCAAGTTACAGGGTGATCACCGTCATAGTAATCCAGTTACAGGGTGAGCACCATCATAATAATCAAGTTATAGGGTGAGCTGCATCATAATAATCAAGTTACAGGGTGAGCACCATCATAGTAATCGAGTTACAGGGTAATCACCGTCATAGTAATCCAGTTACAGGGTGAGCAGCATCATAGTAATCAAGTTACAGGGTGATCACCATCATATTAATCAAGTGACAGGATGAGCACCATCATAGTTATCCAGTTACAGGGTGAGCACCATCATATTAATCAAGTGACAGGGTGAGCACCATCATAGTAATCAAGTTACAGGGTGATCACCATCATAGTAATCGAGTTACAGGGTGATCATCGTCATAGTTATCCAGTTACAGGGTAAGCAGCATCATAGAAATCGAGTTACAGGGTGATCACCGTCATAGTAGTCGAGTTACAGGGTGATCACCATCATAATAATCAAGTTACAGGGTGAGCGCCATCATAATAATCAAGTTACAGGATGGGGGCCGTCATAGTCCTCAATTTACAGGGTGAGCACCATCATATTAATCAAGTTACAGGGTGAGCACCATCTTAATAATCAAGTTACAGGATGGGGACCGTCATAGTTATCAAAGCACAGGGTGAGCACCGTCATAGTAATCAAGTGCTATGGTGAGCACCATCATATTAATCAAGTGACAGACAGGGTTTGCTACATCATAGTAATGCTATCACAGGGTGGGCACCGTCATAGTAATCAAAACACAGGGTAAGCACCATCATAGTTATCAAATCACAGGGTGAGCACCATCATAATAATCCAGTTACAGGGTGAGCACCATCATAATAATCCAGTTACTGGGTGAGCCCCGTCATAATAATCAAGTTACAGGGCGAGCACCGTCATAGTAATCAAAACACAGGGTAAGCCCCATCATAGTTATCAAATCACAGGGTGAGCACCATCATAGTAATCAAGTTACAGGGTGAGCCCCGTCATAATAATCAAGTTACAGGGTGAGCACAGTCATAGTAATCAAATCACAGGGTGCGCACCGTCATAGCAATCCAGTTACAGGGTGAGCAATATCATAGTAATCAAATCACAGGGTGAGCACCATCATAGTAATCAAATCACAGGGTGAGCACCATCATGTTAGCCAGCACGGTTACACCTCCAGTACCTAATTAAGTACCTAATATTTTTTGGTATTATTTCGTGTATTGCTATCGTACTGTGGTACAGTATTACATTGTTCAGGTTACTTGTCTATATTGTGTTCATTTCAAGGCATGACATTTGTCTATTTGTACTCTAATCGGCAGGGAAAAGTCATGGCAATCAGTGTTCAGTATTTTCAAAATTACTTAAGTGAAGTTATAAGACTTACAGTTTCCGATTTTTCAAACTTTGTTCGATGCGTTTCATAGAAACACTCATTGAGGGGCAAACAAATGTGAACATTCGACATGCAGTTCTGAACAGATATAATGCCTGGCCACCGTACTGAACAGATATAATGCCTGGCCACCGTACTGAACAGATATAATGCCTGGCCACCGTACTGAACAGATATAATGCCTGTCCACCGTACTGAACAGATATAATGTCTGGCCACCGTGGTTTCTCATTTGCTTAAACACACCTGGGCATAACTTCTGTTCTATTTTGTAGATTGCAATAAAGTTAGTGAATGGGATGGTTCGATGGTGTTCTTCGAGAAGGGAAATAATCAACATCCTCTGCGAAATGGCCTCTGATTGGTCAAAATTTATGTTTTATCTCATTTCGCTCAAATGTTGTTTACATGTTAATAATGTCAGCACCAAAAACACTACCGAAACTTGCGTTGATTTTTTTCAAATAGACAAAATGGTCGCCTAAGGCTGGGTCCAGATTGGTCTATATTTAGATATTGTACGAGTTTGTATATTTACATAAAGGTGTTTATAATGTCACTGCGAACACTAATGCTACATTTGTTTTCTAATTGATAAGATGGCTGTCATAGGCTGGCTTCTGATTGGTCGACATTTAGATTTTCTCCCATTTTGTTCAAAGAGCTATGTCGGGTTGCTATGCCTATTTCCCCAAAGGTGAGAC